AAGGAAGGAAGGAAGGAAGGAAGGAAGGAAGGAAGGAAGGAAGGAAGGAAGGAGGGAGAAAGAAAGAGAGAAAGAGAGAGAGAAAGAAAGAGAGAGAAAGAGAGAAAGAGAGAGAGAAAGAAAGAAAGAAGGAAAGAAGGGGAGAGAGAGAGAAGCGGGGAGGGAGAGAAAAGAGAGGCAGAGTGAGAGAAAAGAAAAAGAGCGAGAGACAGAGAAAGAAAAGAAAGAGCAAGATAATGAAGAAAAAATAAAGAGAAGAAAAGAAAGAAAAACAGAAGGAAAGAAGAGAAAGAAAAATGAAAGAAAAACAATAGAAAGAAAGAAAAATAAGACAGAAAGAAACAAGGAAGGAAGGAAGGCAAAGAAAGGAAAGAATGAAAGAAAAAGACAGGAAAGAACGAAAGAAAAAGAAAGAAAAGAAAGAAGGAAAGAAAGAAAGAGAGAGAGAGAAAGAAAGAAAGAAAGAAAGAAAGAAAGAAAGAGAGAGAGAGAGAGAGAAAGAAAGGAAGGAAGGAAGGAAGGAAGGAAAGAAAGAAAAAGGGAAAGCAAGCAAGCTTGCTCAAATCCAACCTTTGGCGTTCACTCTGACACGGGTGTCCCCTGAAGCAGGGGAGACGCTAGTGTTTGGTCTCCCACAGCTTTTCAGTTTTTCTGATCTTTCCTCTCATCCTTTGCAGTCATTGGTTTTTGCCAAAAGATTCAATCACCTCAACAAAAGAGGCACATCCAGTAATTGCTACTACTCCAAGAGTAATTCATTGGTGCCAATCATCATGCCACGTTTTATCCACCTGTGGCATTGCCATGAGGATATCAGACCACAGAGTGGGAGCAGCTCTCAAGGATAGGACACAGAGGCTTTCGGCACCAAAGCCAGCTAGCTTAGGTAGAACTCATTCTTTTTTTTTACCAGGAAAAATTGACCAGAAGGGCGTAGAGAGAGAGGAGACTGGCAAAGTGTTGTCATTCTTTTCATGTTTCTTTCACGCAAAGGGAACACTGAAGACTGATTGAGATGTATAATCTTCCCCCCACCACACCCTTCCCGCATTGATAAATATTTTATGTAAGTGATAAATACAAGTGTGTACAGGTCAACTAAGGAGAAAAAGACATGGAAAATGGTATAGTAGAAGACACGTTGGATGAAAACAAAAGACACTCTCAGATTACTTGAAGAGTGGGCTTATTTTTCTGCAATTAACAAAATGTTAAGCCCACTTAATGTTCACTCGAAACAGATGTATAACAAAAATCAACTATTTGAGAGTGAGAAATTGAAGGCAAATTCACTTTTGAAAAGTCGATGAAACAAAAGACAGGCTTTGCCAATAACAAGCTGTTCTGTGTGCGCTGGCTAAGGGATACTACTTTCACTTTTGAAAGGAATAAGTTTGCTCAGGATGACAATTTTTCTTCATTTTTAAAATGCAAACAATGATGCCAGCCGTTAACTTCCTTTCTAGCTATTTTGCTAATAAAGCAAGGAAGGAGAATTGAAATATGAAAAAATAATAAGACCTTGATTCTGACATAGAAACATCAGACATGTATTTTTAAAAATCAGATGACTGTCATCTCTTTAACAGAAGTGAACTATATGCTACATAAATGCTTCCTAGATGCCAGCCAACTTTAACACTTTCTATTCAAAGCTACATTTTGCTCTTGAGAAAGTATATCACAATTAGATTAGAAAGTGCATGGATAGGATGGCTTGGGAAGACTCAAAGATTGAATCCTGCAAGAAAAGAAATACATAATACGTAAAGAGTGAGTATTCTTCAGGGTTTTGACTGCATGACAATAGAGTCTTGCTCTGGGAAAGTTATAGAGGAGCCTGGAATGTCCACAATGATACTTATAAAAAGAAGCAACCTTCAAACCGAAGAAATGATATACAGCTGAAACAGAAAGACCTTTGCCTCACTCGGAGTGCAGGTCCACTCAGAAGAAAAGCCACACATCCCTCTCTCTCTGCATTTCACTCTAGCAGGTTGATGTTTCTCCACCTAGGACTCTCCATGTCTATTGATTTCCACATTTCTCTCTTTGTTTGGAACAAAAACCAACCAACTAGAAGATGATTTTATACACTCTTCACCAAATGGAAGTTGGGAAAGAAAAAAAAGCATTTCACTATTTTACTTACTTCTCGCTCTCAACTTTTCCCAAAAATTGATCTGGTTATTTTGCTTTCCAGCCCTCCATCAACCTTCTAATTCTTTTTCACACACACACACACACACACACACACACACACACACACACACTTGCCTGGTCCAATCTGGTGCCTGATTAACAACAACAGAATGACAAGCAACATCTGTTGGTGAAAAAGCCAAAGTCAAACCTTAACATTTTTTTGGCTAGGTTTCTTTTTTCTTTTTTTCCCCTGATTCTAAAATGGGAGGGGACAGAAAGAGAAATATGAAGATTTATATTCAGTATCGGTTCCAGTGAGGCAGCATCTACACTCCCCTAGAGCTATTTCAAGGTAAAAACAATTTTAGGTAAAACCACTGCAGAATATATGGTTGTCTCCCCTGCAGCAAGCCCAGCCACATAAAATCTAACATATCAAATCCCTAAAACTCAGGGGTTTTTTCTGATAGCTTTACATTCATCTTCTAATTAGAATTACAGGATCTTTTGTGTTAGGGAAGGAGTGATAAGAGATAGAAAGAGAGGAGAGTAAGACAGAAAAAGAAAAAATAGCAGAGAGGAAAGGAGCGCTGTCGTTCCTCCTAGATTTTATAACTCAAGCGTATAACAGGCACATTTACGCTTGTGCCACACACAGGAGCGTGCACTGGAAGCAGCAAGGCTATGGCAGAAATCTGCACAGCTGTAGCCATCAGAAACGGGCTCTCTCATTCCCCCACGGAGAGGTGGATTTCTGGAAAGCTACCAACAGACCACAAGGTCACAATGCAAAGGATCAGAGCTCCCTCAATGGGAAGGGGGTGGGGAGTGGAAGAGAGAAGAAGGAGCTGGTAAAAAAGAGAAAGCCTCACTCGCCAAATGAAACAATTTTGCCCCCAAGAAGGGAAATAGGGGACTGTCAGAAACTCAACTCCCATTTCACTCAGGGTTTGGAAGAAACCCACACACATTAAGGGAAAAATAAATGCAGACAAGTTGCTAAGGAGACTTGTGTAAACTCCAAGCGCAGACATATTTCTTGGCCTTTCCCCCTACGCTCCATCTTGTATTCTGATCACGCTGCTCTGCGGCAATGTTGCACCAACCTTCTGCATTAATCTTGGCCTTAACCGTGCATTCTGGCAAAGCACACTGGTTGTAGATATCATCATCTCTCAAACTTAACAAGTTAAAAGGGGGTGTGTGTGTGTGTGTGTGTGTGTGTGTGTGTGTGTGTGTGTGTGATTAGTTGGGGGGAAAGTAGGGAAATTTTAATTTGGAATTTTTTAAACATAGGTGTTGAACAAAGAATATTTACAGTGCATATTTTAGGAGCAATGGGGAAAGGGATAGGCAAAACATCTAGCACTGGAAATTTCCCTTAGCCTGTACCTTCCTCATCTCTCTGTACCCCTAGACTCTTTTCCCCCTCCCACATCTGTGAAAATCCTGTGGCCCTGGCAGATGCAAGCAGCGCCTGCATCACTGCAGATGACAGCGTAGGGTCCTAGGCTTCTGCAGAAAACTGCATTCCACAAAGTCGAACCCTGCTCCCCTACCCAGGGTATCCCAGAGAGATCAGCTTTTTGAAAACAAACTGGGTCAATTCATAAAACATCTAAACCAAACCTGTGTAGGTTAGAAACCAGCTAGCATTTTGGAGGATTTCCGCCTGATGTCCACCCTCTGGAGCTGAGAGCTTGTCCCACAGTGACACATCCTCAGTTGCAGCTGATATGTGTCAACATTTGATTTAGAAGAAAATTAACATTTTCTTTCAGGACAGAGATGTTTGTACTGTAGAAGCCAAT